GTGTGGACTTCAACTCCCAGAATTCCCCAGACAGCAAAGCTGTCTGGGGAATTCTGGGAGTTGAAGTCCACACATCTTAAAGTTGCCAAGGTTGAAAAACACTGGTCTAAGGGATGTTTGCGCTGATGCCTGAATGAGCATGCTCTTCCCCCTAATTTTAATATAAGGATATAAGCACTCACAGCTTCTCGATGGCAAGAAGAAAGGAATTTACATCTGCTTAGAAATACTTTCAATATTATTTTTTCATGCATTCCCCCCTCCCCATTAGAGGCAGCTGACATCTGTAACCGTTTCCCCAAGGGTAAATTCTATTTATCTCAGTGAGAGTTACTGTTGAATAAAGATGAGCACTGAGAATTTCACAAGCGGATCTTTCAGCTGCTCCTCTTGGGAATGGCGTTCTTGCATTTTGAGGATTGAAGAAATTGTTTGAGCAATGCACTGACGCTACAGCAGGGTAGATATGCCTGAGATTAGAAAAAAATGGGTTTTGACTTGATCTCTTACGCTGTGAGAATATTCATTGGTGCTGCCAATCTGTAGCTCTCTGCTGATTTTCAGTTCATTTCATAATTTGAGTTCCTGCCTTTCCAAAAGAGTTATTCTGCCCCAAAGTCAGCCTTTATCATAGGGAAGAAAGGTTTTGCCGACATAAAATGGTTTCTACAATTTTGGAATAACATTTTAAAGCAGGCATTGGCTTAGATGGTGCTGGGTTCCCACTTATTGCTAAATCAGGATTTTTAAACCTTAATTTCTTGAGCAAGTCATAATAGCCACATTTGCTTATAATGCTAAATCAGAATAGATGGGTTTACAGCCCATGTTAAACCAAAATCAAGACATCACATTAGGGTTCAGTGGGAAATAGGAGAGCAAGCGTACACGACCAGCAAATCAAGATGTGGGTTAAATTCTGAATGCATTGAGATACAGAAAAAGAGACAGGAAGACAGATTTCTTAATTCCATAGTCAGCCTAAACTCTATTTTTTTCTGTAAAAGTGAAAATACGGTTGGGGTTTTTTTTGGGGGTGGGGGAGAATAGATATGGAAATGCTTTAACACCCTCCCCCAACTTTTCCACTACTCAGAGAAACAAAGAGAGGTTAGGCTAAATAATTATAGAATGACAAGCTCTGTTTTCCTGTCCCTTTCCCTGAATCTCGGTGCATTCAGAAATTCAGCTCGTACCAGCATCCCATAATACATCTCAGGAAAAACTAGATAAGATGGAAAGTTCACTGGGTAAATTGGATAGAAAATAATTGATATGGGATGAGTAAAAATGTATTGATTGCTCTGGTTTTCAATATATAACACATGCTTTAAATAAATTTGCCCTCATATCAAACTTTTTGGAGTAGGTCATTATTATTCCTGTTGTTCAAGGCACAAAGTAAAATAATAGATCACAACAATTAAAGTGAATGTTTGTATTTTCACTAAATACCTTCAGACAACTGGTTGTACCTGTTATCTGTCACTTTTAAAATGGCAAAAACCCATTTAAGCCTTTCACTTACATGTTTCTCCTAGTCTAGTCCTGGCCACATCTCAACTCTTCCCCCCTTGCTTGTTCTCTTTTAGGCAATTAGTTCATCAATTTAAAACTGCCTCTTCCTTTTCAGAAAGAGGCAAAGGCCCACTTTTGACTGTGGGGGAAGCCACAAATACACTTTTTTGTAAAAAAAAACAAAACGGAGAAATTCCCGTGCCGATTTTGAAGCTGTATCTCCTGTTTTGGCCAGTTTGTCCATAGCGTTAGAAGAAGCTGTGTGATGTGGCAGGTAGTTCTACTTGCCCATAACTAAAGTGGTATCCAACATCTGTATTTTCCCAAACAGAGAAAATTATATTCCCGACAGCCAGTGTCCAGAACAATTGCGATCCTGGATGAGCCCTAATTTATGGACAAGCCCGGTTGTGGTTTACTTGGAGAATGAATCAGCAACCTCAGGATTTGAAACACCATCAGTCAAGCTGAAACTGGCCACAGAGGAACCCACCAAGTTAATCAGCATTCTTTGCAGTGGGAGTCCTTTTCAGGAAAAAATTCAGCCAGATTGGCTGTTGGTCCTCCATTTCCACGTGTGCTGGTAAATATACATCTTGGGCTGGAGGCCTTCTTTGGAGAGAGCCAGAATTTATTCCCTGTGCAATGTTCTTAACCAGAGCCAAGTCATGGCTCCCGAGACTGTCCTGGTGGAGAGGAAAGCAGACCTTCAACCAGGAGGAGGATTTGAAGGAAAAACCTGAGGTACTGGTGGAATGCACAGGGCCTCCCAAGGCAAGATGGTGGAGTGGCCGCCGGCTTCTGGAAATGATTGGATGGGGCCAAAGCTCGGCTGCTGGAGAGCACTCCCTGTTGGCTGGAATACCTCAACATGTTGCTCCTCACAAGCCATCAGTGGAGTCTCCAGAGCACTTCCAGATTTGCTTCAACTTCACTCGACACCTCTTTGATTTGTGCGTAGTGACTCTGCTCTGCGCATCCTCTCCGGCTTTCCGGTTGGTTATGGATATCCTGGGATTTGGAGGACCCTTGAAGGTTTGGCTCCATGGGTTTGCCTGTTTCTTGGTCAGCACCTATGGGATGTACTTGGTTCTTTGGTTGGTCCAGGAGTATCTGGTGCAATTTGCCTGTCTTTATGGATTTCTGCAGACCCTGGTTTTGTGGGTCAGCATCCGTGCTGGACCGTCGGAGTCTCAAGAAGACGAACAGGCTGCTGGGCTCAATACAGATCGAGAAGAAGAAGAGTCAGCAGCTGATGGATGTAAGCAAGAATCACCACTATGAGGAGGAAGGTTGTGTTGACCCACCTCTTGTGACAGGGTGGGGGTTGAAGCCCAGGAGATTGACTGAAGTGGGCCCTAGAGGGACTGAAAGGAGTAACTTGTATTTAAGATGGCTGAACAGAAATTTAGGGGGGGGGGTGTAAAAAGGAGAAACAGTATTTCTCAAAATGGGTAATGACTCAAAAAATAAGCACTAGATTCATAGAACTTTTCCATATAGATTGTTCCAAATCCCAGTTATCAGTGGCTGCAAGGAAAGGAACTAACAGATGGGATGGGTAATCCATCCAGAATTATAATCATCTAGTGGGTCTCAGCAAAAATCACAGAGCGGTCTGAGGCTCATCTATCTTAAAGATATAAACCAATTTTGGGTGCTTGGGTGTTATGGCTACCCCTAGAGGATTCTGGGAACTGTAGTTTTTGAGGGGAAGGAGGGACAGAAATGATTAAATCCCTTGTTGAATTCCTTGATGGGAGTCATCTTGACCTCTGGTTTGAATCCGTAGTGCCCGTGGAAAGTATATTTTCAAAAAAAAGCAAATAAGCATCCAGAATATAGCTAATTCCTTCATATTTACAAGGGCCTATGAATTTCTCCTGGCTTGTATCCTGTTTGACCTCTTATTGTTTTCTGGGTGACAACAACCCAGTGAAAGCCATCGAGAATAGGCAGCTGAAAATAAACAGCACGTGTTGTTCCTACATGTATGGTCTAGCCCAGTGTTTCTCAACCTTAGCAACTTTAAGATGAGTGGACTTCAACTCCCAGAATTCTGGGAGTTGAAGTCCACTCATCT